GTCGCCTATGAAGGCGGTTTCCTTCTCACAGCCTGAGACTCCTCCCTCAGAGGAGCCAAAGCAAACCGTTTTGCCCGTTCAGGACTCTGCATTCATCGATCTGTCTTCCGAGGACTATGCTCAGTACGATGCACATATGAAAGCCATCAACCAAATGATTGCGTCGTCCAGTGATACGTTGTTATAGCTTTCCTTCTTCGTTTATGCAAATGATCTGATTTTATGTACATCTGGTGTATGTACGTGTAAAGTGCAAAGTGCCATTTCAAAATATTTTTTCTAGTCATTTCACAATATATTTTATTCCGGCGGAAGTTTGACATCTCTCATGCGATTAAACAGTGATTATAAACCTCTAACTACTGATAATGGATTTAAACAGCGAAAAATGTAAAGTTAAATTGCTTACTTCACTTTGCAGTGATATTGCGAAGTGTAAGGTGGATGATAGTCATTACGTCAGGTTCTACTGCATCAATGCACCGCTCCTTTGTTTCTACTCACCTAGAAAACTATTTAAGCAAGCCACGGCTCTACGGTATTTAGAAAGAGCAGCTCTCCGTTAAAATAAATGTCCTCTTCTTTCAAATACAAAACAGTTACGGAGATGCCCTCGCTAATGCATTCCAAAATGTGGCAATCTCCATTGGTCCGTTCTAACCGCCGCCTCAATACTCGCAATGGCGGAGAGGAAGGGCAATTTATTGGTAGTTTTTTTCACTCTAAGGGTGCTGGGTTGAAACCGCAAATAGGCGGAAAAAAAGTGTTCTTAATGAAATTATCACTTAGGCAAATAATTATTTGATGATACTTCCATTCAACCACGTAAGAAACGGATTTCGTTAAGATGCGAATAAAAGTTCCAATACAGACTTATGGTATGATCATGAAACTTGGGCAATGCTCGAGTTGCCTAGGGAAGTATCTGAATGATCTGGACCATGCCGCTGATATCATGTTACCGGATTACAATGCTGATGGCATCCGGTCTCCGGTCTCACAGTGAAGCAGCAGGCAAAACTGTAGCGAAAGCAGGCTACCAGCCGAACCCTGAAAAGACAAAGGTGATGAGCAACCCAGAAGGTACATTGGCAGCGAAGGTATCCCGTCAGTTCAACTGCCTGTGCGGGAACCGAAACATGGACAACGAAAGACCGATCGCCAGCACATCACATATTAGAGTTAAACGGAGATCTGCTGTCCGTGAAGGTTTTCAACGACGCCAAACATAATTATGAAAAACAATAACTATTTGTCAGAGCTGCCAAACAAACTACCATATTTGCCGATGCGTGCCCCTTTCGGCTGTAATTCGCCTGACCCATCTGACAGTTGACTAGGAATTAGCACATGGTGCAAACAGCAGAAGAGGATTCTCGCATGACGATGAAGTACCTGACAGTCTGAAATGTCGTTCGAATTGTATGCGTCAGTGGTATTACTGCCGAGAATCTGATCTGGCTACTACGTTCAGGTGTCATTACAACCGAGAGTACTGCGTGTCATTCTAGCAAAGCAAAGAGAGAATGTGCCTCCTATCGATTTATGACCTAAAGCCCGGCAGTTCATAACCGTCACTGTTCTTGGCATAAAGATCACCTGTACGAAGCGGCACTCCTCTGGAAGTCGGATGGTCGACCAGGCCAGGCCGAAGGAACCTTCTCTGCTTGGCATCGGCAGCTGGTCAACGCGTGAATAATACAAATTGATCCGCCAATGTACATCAAGACAAATTGAGTACGAATTATCTATCAGTCGCGGACGGTTAGAATAAGGTTAAGGAGGCGTTCGAATCTGAGCGGTGTATCACAGATGACAGCGCTATAGGAAAGAGATAGTAAAGGCCCATCTCTAGACTTGGATTAAATGAAAAGATATACGGTATCAGATAACATATGACCCCTCCATACGTAGTTCTTTAGCAAGAACCAACAGTGCATATGGTGCCTACTTCTGAATACAGTAATTGGCTAGTAAACACGGATACGCAGATCATGACTTAGGTAAATTTAAACTTACCAAAATTATCAATGAAGGACCATGGATAAAATTTTGAATTATAAAAATTTCGCATAACGCAATTACGTTACTCATACTCCACTTTACAATGGTTCTCCGCCACCAGGCAGACAGCCAGTGCGGTGATTTCTCAGTATCGCGGTGTTTACGGAAGTGTGGACATTCGTATTCATGCACTTCAGTGTTTGCCTGCGCTTTGACAGAGCAATATCACGTGACAGACATTTTTAATGTTTTTCTGCGATGTGACAGAGCAATATCATGATGCATGAAGAGAAGAAAAAAGCAAATGTTCAGTCGCCGTTTGCTAATATCATAGGGAATTTTTAACTGGCAAATTAAACAAGTGGTAATGAAAAAACAGAAAGCATTAATGATGTATTACATTACTTTGCATCAATAATCAGACTGTTAAAACCAGTCTGATTTGTGCATGCATCGGAATGAATGAAATTAACAGAAATAACTTTGAAGGCATGACATGTTGATGTGCCATTGTGTAAACAATAAATGTAGGCATAAGGTGCGTTTAACTGACGAGGGGGAGGGTTAAACCTGAGGAGCATAACATTAAACTAAGTTTGATCTTCTGAAATGTCGTAGCTATTGAACAGCATATCGTAATAGCCATCAGAATGGTGAGAGACGCGTGCTTTATCTCACAGAACTACAATGACAAGCAATCGTAGCGTGTTTAAATGGTTCACTAGGTTTCTAGAAGCTAGAAAACGAAACAACATGCCGTTAAATAAGTTTCTGATGAGTCACATGCTGGTGCAGAATACGGTAGCAAACGCACGGTGAAAATGACTGACATGGTTTTCCTAAAG